ATCCAAGATTTGAAGGCTTTATAGATCATACTGATAATACATAATTGTACAATTATAATGTTACGTGGGTATAATAATAGGGTAGTATTGTTCTTTGTATATAATTAATTTAATTTTATACCGTGCTTTATGTTATACAGGGTGTTCAAAAAGTAGGATCCAAGATTTGAAGGCTTTATAGATAATACTGATAATACATAATTTTACAATTATGATATTGCGTGGGTATAATAATAGAGTGGTATAGTTCTTCGTTTATAATTAATTTAATTTTATACCGTGCTTTATGGTATACAGGGTGTTCAAAAAGTAGGATCCAAGATTTGAAGGCTTTATAGATAATACTGATAATACATAATTTTACAATTATGATATTGCGTGGGTATAATAATAGAGTGGTATAGTTCTTCGTTTATAATTAATTTAATTTTATACCGTGCTTTATGGTATACAGGGTGTTCAAAAAGTAGGATCCAAGATTTCAAGGCTTTACAGGTTTTGAGACACTTTATCAGTAAGAATTAAAGTAGTATAATAAAGACATTGGTCAATATTGATTTCGCCAGAGGCAGGCCATTTCCTAATTGCGAGATTAGGTACAAGGTGAACCACTTCGTTCGTTTCTTCATCTTTTGGAAACTCTTTCACGTTTTATCATTCATGACGAAATAATTATTCCTCCAATAATAAAATAAACGCGAATAAACAAGGTAGTTATTCCGTGTACTCGTTGCAGTAATTAAAATAGCATAACGTCGAGATTAATTAGCTTCTTATTTTATACGATTAATGTATTGATAATGGTACTTTCTCTCTACGCATGCTCTTGGTGACACGCTTATGGCTAACTGATTAATCGTCTAATGTCCCGGGAATCCATACCACTTTCCCCACTACCACTATGCAAGCTCGTACTTCCATATATATAACTATAATATAGGTCAATTATGAAATTATTAAACAGTTTAATTATTACGTTATTAAATTGTTAAATTATTAAATAAATTACTAAAATATTAAATAGGTTATTTATTATATGCATAATAATAATCGAACGACTTTCAAATACCAAAGTATTATAGGTCAGTGAATTCACCCTGAGCTATCCATTTAAAAAAAAAAATTAAAAATACAGTTCTATTAAAAAAAAAAAAGAACCAAGGTCACCTAGAAATTTCGGAAGCACGATTGTTATAATTTTGTTAAAATAACTGG